CCCCAGCGAGGCCGGGCTGCACGAGATGGACATTCGCTACGACAACATGCACATCCCAGGTGGGGGCCTGGGGGCCTTGGGGGCTTTGGGGGTCGGCAGGGGTTTGGGGGCCTTGGTGGCACCACGGCCCTGCAGGTGCCGTGAAATCCCCTTGTGTCACCCCGTGTGTCACCCTGGGCATCCCCGTGGCTCTGGGGAGGGGCCTCAGCATGCCCTGTACAGGTGGGGGTCCTGGGGGCTTTGGGGGCTTTAGGGGTCGGCAGGGGGGTTTGGGGGCCTTGGTGGCACCACGGCCCTGCAGGTGCCATGAAATCCCCCTTGTGTCATCCTGGGTGTCCCCCGTGGATCTGGGGAGGGGTCTCAGCATACCCTGGACAGGTGGGGGTCCAGGGGGCTTTGGGGGTCGGCAGGGGTTTAGGGGTCAGCAGGGGGTTTGGGAGGCCTTGGTGGCACCACGGCCCTGCAGGTGCCGTGAAATCCCCCCTTGTGTCACCCCGTGTGTCACCCTGGGCGTCCCCCCATGGCTCTGGGGAGGGGTCTCGGGGATCCAGGGGGGCTTCAGGGGGCTTTGGGGGGTCAGCAGGGGGGTTTGGTGTGGCCTTGGTGGCACCACAGCCCTGCAGGTGCCGTGAAATCCCCCCTTGTGTCACCCTGGGCATCCCCCCGTGGCTCTGGGGAGGGGTCTCAGCACCCCTGTATTGATGGGGGGTCCAGGGGGGCTCTGGGGTCTTTAGGGGGTCAGCAGGGGGTTTGGGGGGCCTTGGTGGCACCACAGCCCTGCAGGTGCCGTGAAATCTCCCCTTGTGTCACCCTGTGTGTCACCCTGGGTGTCCCCCCGTGGATCTGGGGAGGGGTCTCAGCACCCCTGTACAGGTGGGGGTCCAGGGGGCTTTGGGGGTCAGCAGGAGGTTTTGGGGGTCAGCAGGAGGTTTTGGGGTTCATCAGGGGTTGGGTGACCTTTGTGGCGACCACGGCCCTTGGACACGGCCTCATGTCCCCATGTGTCACCCTGGGTGCTCCCCGTGGCTCTGGGGGGTTGGGGTGTCTCCCTGACTCTGGGGGTGGTCTCAGCGCCCCTGACCCCCGTGTGCCCCCGTGGCCCCCCCAGGCAGCCCCCTGCAGTTCTACGTGGACTACGTGAACAGCGGGCACGTCACGGCCTACGGGCCCGGCCTCATCCACGGCACCGTCAACAAACCCGCCACCTTCACCGTCAACACCAAGGACGCCGGCGAGGGTGAGGACATAGAGGGGAACAGGGGGTCCCCAGGGGGTCCCCAGCCCCTCACAGGGGGTCCCCAGGGGGTCCCCAGCCCCTCCCAGGGGGTTCCCAGGGGGTCCCCACACTGTCCTGGGGTCCCCAACCTCTCCCGGGGGTCCCCAGCCCCTCACAGGGGTCCCCAGGGTGTCCCCAAGGGGTCCCCAGCCCCTCACAAGGGGTTCCCAGCCCCTCCCAGGGGTCCCCAGGGTATCCCCAAGGGGTCCCCAGCCCCTCCCAGGGGTCCCCAGGTTGTCCCCAAGGGGTCCCCAGCCCCTCCCAGGGGGTCCCCAGCCCCTCCCAGGGGGTTCCTAGCCCCTCCCAGGGGGTTCCCAGCCCCTCCCAGGGGTCCCCAGCGCCTCCCAGGGGGTCCCCAGCCCCTCACAGGGGGTTCCCAGAGTATCCCCAAGGGGTCCCCAGCCCCTCACAGGGGGTTCCCAGCCCCTCCCAGGGGTCCCCAGCGCCTCCCAGGGGGTTCCCAGCCCCTCCCAGGGGTCCCCAGGGTGTCCCCAAGGGCTCCTCAGCCTCTCCCAGGGGGTCCCAAGGGGTTTCCAAGGGGTCCCCAGACTGTCCCAGGGGTCTCCAGGGTGTCCCCAAGGGGTCCCCAGCCCTTTCCAGGGGTCTCCAGGGTGTCCCCAAGGGCTCCCCAGCCCCTCCCAGGGGTCCCCAGGGTGTCCCCAAGGGGTCCCCAGCCCCTCCCAGGGGTCCCCAGGGTGTCCCCAAGGGGTCCTCAGCCTCTCCCAGGGGGTCCCAGGGGATTCCCAGGGGCTTCCCACACTGTCCTGGGGTCCCCAGACTATCCCAGGGGTCCCCAGAGTGTTCCTAGGGGGTCCCCAACCTCTCCCAGGGGGTCCCCAGCCCCTCCCAGGAGGTCCCCAGGGGGTCCCCACATCATCCCAGGGGTCCTCAGGGAGTCTGCAGCCCCTCCCAGGGGTGTCCAGGGGTCCCCACATCATCCCAGGGGTCCTCAGCCCCTCCCAGAAGGTCCCCAGCCCTTCCAGGGGGTCCCAAGGGGGTCCCCAACCCCTCCCAGGGGTCTCCAGGAGGTCCCCACATCATCCCAGGGGTCCCCAGCCCCTCCCAGGCATCCCCAGGGGGTCCCCAACCCCTCCCAGGCATCCCCAGGGGGTCCCCACATCATCCCAGGAGTCCCCCTGGGGGTCCCCACACTGCCCCTCCCAGAGGTCCCCAGAGTCCCATCACCAGGGTCCTCAGGGGAGTCTGCAGCCCACTCCCAGGCGTCCTCAGGGGGTCCCCAGCCCCTCCAGGGATCTCCAGGGGGTCCCCACATCCTCCCAGGGGTCCCCCAGGGGGTCCTCACACTGTCTCAGGGTCCCCAGGGTGTTCCCAGGGGGTCCCCACACCATCCCAGGGGTCCCCAAGGGGTCCCCACATCATCCCAGGGGTCCCCAGGGATGAGCCCAGGGTGTTCCCAGCCCCTCCCAGGGGTCCCCAGAGGGTCCCCAGCCCCTCCCGAGGGGTCCCCACGTTATCCCCAGCCCCTCTCAAGTGTCCCCAGTCCCACTCAAGGTGTCCCCCAGTTCCTCCCAGGGGGTCTTCAGCCTCTCCTGGGGGGTCCCCAGCGTGTCCCAAACCCCTCCCAGTGTGTCCCCAACCCCTCCCAGTGGTCCCCAGCCCCTCCTAGTGGTCCCCAGCCCCTCCCAGTGGTCCCCAGCCCCTCCTGAGGTGTCCCCAGCCCCTCCCAGGGATCTTCAGGGGTTCCCAGCCCTCTCAAGGGTCCCCAGTCCCACCCAAGGGTCCCCAACCCCTCCCAAGGGTCCCCATCCCCACTCAAGGTGTCCCCCAGCCCCTCCCATGGGGTCCTCATCCTCTCCTGGGGATCCCCAGCATGTCCCCAACCCTGCTCGAGGTGTCCCCCAGCCCCTCCCAGGGTGCCCCCACCTTGTCCCCAGCCCCTCCCGGCTGTCCCCACCCCCAGTGACCCCTTTTTCCCCCAGAGGCTGTCCCTGGCCGTGGAAGGTCCTCCAAGGCCGAGATCAGCTGCACCGACAACCAGGACGGCACGTGCAGCGTGTCCTACCTGCCCGTGCTGCCCGGGGACTACGGCATCGTGGTCAAGTACAACGACAAGCACATCCCTGGCAGCCCCTTCACCGCCCGCATCACCGGTACAGGGGGCTGGGGAGGGAGTTTGGGGGGTTTGGGGGTCCCTGGGGAGTTTGGCGAGGGGTTTGGGAGTCCCCAGGAGGGGTCAGGTACAACGACAAGCACATCCCTGGCAGCCCCTTCACCGCCCGCATCACCGGTACAGGGGGCTGGGGAAGGACTTGGGGGTCCCTGGGGGAGTTTGAGGGTCCCTGGAGGGGATTTGGGGGTCCCTGGAGGATTTGAGGGTCCCTGGGGGGTTTGGGGGTCCCCAGAGGGGTCAGGTACAACGACAAGCACATCCCTGGCAGCCCCTTCACTGCCCGCATCACCAGTACGGGGGGGTTTGGGGGTCCCTGGGGGGGCTTGGGGGTCTCTGGGATAGGTTTGGGGGTCCCAGGAGCAGCTCTGAAGGTCCCAGTGCCCCCCTGAGGGTCTCTGGGACAGGTTTGGGGGTCCCTGGAGCAGCTCTGGGGTCTCTGGGACAGCTTTGGGGGTCTCTGGAGCCCCCAGAGTGTCCCCAGTGCCACTCTGAGGGTCTCTGGGACAGATCTGGGGGTCCCTGGGACAGGTTTGGGGGTCTCTGGAGCAGATCTGGGGGTCCCCAGGACAGGTTTGGGGGTCTCTGGAGCCCCTGGGGTGTCCCCAGTGCCACCCTGAGGGTCCTGTGACCCCCTCTGACCCTCCCTGTGCCCCCCAGGTGACGACTCCCTGCGCCTGTCCCACCTCAAGGTGGGCGCCTCGGCTGACATCCCCCTGGACATTGGGGAAACCGACCTGAGCCAGCTCACGGCCACTGTCACCTCCCCCTCGGGGCACAAGGAGCCCTGCCAGCTGAAACGGCTCAGGAACGGCCACATCGGTGAGGGGACAGGGACATTGGGGACAGGGACAGGGACACTGGGGGGGCACAAAGAGCCCTGCCAGCTGAAACGGCTCAGGAATGGTCACATCGGTGAGGGGACAGGGACAGGGACATTGGGGGGGACACTGGGGACATTTAGGGGGGACACAAAGAGCCCTGCCAGCTGAAACGGCTCAGGAATGGTCACATCGGTGAGGGGACAGGGACAGGGGACATTGGGGACAGGGACAGGGGACACTGGGGGCATTTAGGGGGGCACAAAGAGCCCTGCCAGCTGAAACGGCTCAGGAATGGTCACATCGGTGAGGGGACAGGGACATTGGGGACAGGGACAGGGGACAGGGGACATGAGGGGACAGAGGGACAGGGATTTCGTTCATGCCCAGGAAGGTGGGGGAGCACCTGGTGCACCTGTTCCGGAGGGGGGCAGCCCCTGTCCCGTGTCCCCAATGTCCCCAATGCCCCCAATATCCCCCCAATGTCCCCATTGTCCCTGCAGGGATCTCGTTCGTGCCCAGGGAGGTGGGGGAGCACCTGGTGCACGTGTTCCGGGGGGGGCAGCCCCTGCCCCGCAGCCCCAATGTCCCCCCTGTGTCCCCAATGTCCCCCCAGATGTCCCCAGTGTCCCCATTGTCCCCCCAAATGTCCCCAATGTCCCCATTGCCCCCAATGCCCCCATTGTCCCCAATGTCCCCAATGTCCCCATTGTCCCCCCAAATGTCCCCAAATGTCCCCTAATGTCCCCATTGTCCCCGCAGGGATCTCGTTCGTGCCCCGGGAGGTGGGGGAGCACCTGGTGCACGTGTTCCGGGGGGGGCAGCCCCTGCCCCATGTCCCCAATGTCCCTGATGTCCCCATTATCCCCTCAATGTCCCCAATGCCCCCAATGTCCCCCCAGATGTCCCCAATGTCCCCATTGTCCCCGCAGGGATCTCGTTCGTGCCCAGGGAGGTGGGGGAGCACCTGTGCACGTGTCTCCGAGGGCAGCCCTCACCCATGCCCCCAATGTCCCCAATGTCCCTCAGTGTCCCCAGTGTCCCCAATGTCCCCATTGTCCCCAGTGTCCCCAATGTCCCCATTGTCCCCCCAAATGTCCCCAACGTCCCCAATGTCCCCATTGTCCCCAATGTCCCCATTGTCCCCGCAGGGATCTGGCTCGTGCCCAGGAGGTGGGGGCACCTGGTGCACGTGTTCCGGGGGCAGCCCCTGCCCGCAGCCCCATCGCTCGTCACCATCAGCCAGGCAGCGAGCTGGGCGACGCCAGCAGGGTGGTCCTGACCGGGCCGAGCTGCGCGAGGAGAGACTCTTCCAGCCCGCCCACTTCACCATCGACACCCGGGACGCAGGCACGAGGGCTTTGGGGGCTGGGGGGCTCTTTGGGGTCCTGGGAGGTCCTGGGGACTCCTGGGAGCACCTTCCAGCCCGCCCACTTCACCCATCGACACCCGGGGCGCAGGTACGGGGATTTAGGGGGCTGGGGGTCTTTGGGGTCCTGGGGGCTCCTGGGGCACCTTCCAGCCCCCATTGATACCAGGGACACAGTTATGGGGGGCCTGGGGGTCCCACGGGTCCCTGCTGACCCCGCCAGGGTTTTGGGGGTCCCTGCTGACCTGCCCACCCCCCAGGGTACAGGGGGCCTCAGCCTTGTCCATGGAGGGGGATTGGGGGTTTGGGGGTCCCTGCTGACCATGCCCACCCTCCCCAGGGTACAGGGGCTCAGCCTGTCCATCCAGGGGATTGGGGATTTGGGGGTCCCTGCTGACCCTGCAGGGGTTTGGGGGTCCCTGCTGACCATGCCCACCCCCAGAGTACGGGGGCTCAGCCTGTCCATCCAGGGGATTGGGGATTTGGGGGTCCCTGCTGACCCTGCAGGGGTTTGGGGGTCCCTGCTGACCATGCCCACCCCCAGGTACGGGGGCTCAGCCTGTCCATCCAGGGGATTGGGGGATTTGGGGGTCCCTGCTGACCCTGCAGGGGGTTTGGGGGTCCCTGCTGACCATGCCCACCCCCCCAGGGTACGGGGGGCTCAGCCTGTCCATCGAGGGGTGGTTTGGGGGTCCCTGCTGACCCTGCAGGGGGTTTGGGGGTCCCTGCTGACCATGCCCACCCCCCCAGGGTACGGGGGGCTCAGCCTGTCCATCGAGGGGCCCAGCAAGGTGGACATCACGACGGAGGAGTTGGAGGACGGGACGTGCCGCGTGTCCTACTGCCCCACCGAGCCCGGCAACTACATCATCTCCGTCAAATTCGGGGACCAGCACGTGCCCGGTGCGCACTGGGAGCACTGGGAGGGGCTGGGAGCACTGGGAGGGGCAGTGGGAGGGGCTGGGAGCACTGGGAGGGGCTGGGAGCACTGGGAGGGGCACTGGGAGGGACTGGAGGGGACTGGAAGGGATGGGGAGGGTCACTGGTGGCGCTGGGAGGGGCACTGGGGGAGACTGGGGACACTGGGAGGGGCACTGGGAGGGATTGGGAGCACTGGGGGCTGTTTTGGGGTCCCGGGAAGGCTTTGGGGTGGGGGAGTTTGGGGTTTGCGGGTGCTGGGTGGGTTAGGAGGTTTGGGTGTGCTGTGAGGGGTTTGGGGGTCCCTGCAGGGATTTGGGGAATGCTGGGTGGGTTAGGAGGTCTGGGGGTGCTCTGAGGGGTTTGGGGACCCCCCTGTGACCCCCCTGCCCCCAGGAGCCCTTCTTAGTGAAGGTGACGGACGAGGGGGTTCTGGTGCTGGGTGGGGTGGGGGTTTGGGGGTCCCTGCAGGGGTTTGGAGGGTGCTGGGTGGGGTAGGAGGTTCAGGGGGGTTTGGGGCCCTCCTGTGACCCCCCCTTGCCCCCCCAGGGAGCCCGTTCTCGGTGAAGGTGACGGGCGAGGGCCGGGTCCGCGAGAGCATCACCCGGCGCCGCAGGGCCCCCCCCGAGGCCACCGTGGGGTCCCCCTGCGACCTCAGCCTCAAAATGCCTGGTGAGGGGCCTGGGGGGGGCCTGGGCGGGGGTCCCTGAGCGTCCTGAGGGGGTCCCTGAGCTTCCTGTGGGGGGTCCTGAGTGTCCTCAGAGGGTCCTGAGTGTCTGGGGGGGTCCCTGAGCTTCCCGTGGGGTCCTGAATATCCTCAGGGAGTCCCTGGACTTACCAGGGGGGTCCTCAGTGTCCTCAGGGAGTCCCCCAAAGCCCCCCAGAGGTCCCTTCAGATACAGAAGGATCCCTGAACCCCCCCAATAACCCCCCTGTGCTCCCAATAACCTCCAGAACCCCCCAATAACCCCCTGAGCCCCCCAATAACCCCCTGTGAGTCCCTGAGCCCCCAAATAACCCCCTGAGCCCCCAATAACCCCCAGTGACCCCTGAGCCCCCAATAACCCCTGAGCCCCCAATAACCCCCAGTGACCCCTGAGCCCCCAATAACCCCCTGTCCCCCAGAGCTGAGCGTGGCGGAGGTGACGGCGCAGGTGGCGGGGTCCTCGAGGGGGTCTGGGGATTCCTGTCCCCCCGTGACCCCTGAGCCCCCAGTGACTCCCTGAGCCTCAATAACCCCTGAGCCCCCAATAACCCCCAGTGACTCCTGACCCCCCAACAACCCTCTGTGACTCCCTGACCCCCCAATAACCCCTGTGCCCCCAATAACCCCCTGACCCCCCAATAATCCCCTGTCTCCCCCAGAGCTGAGCGTGGCGGAGGTGACGGTGCAGGTGGTGGGGTCTCAAGGGGGTCTGGGGATCCTGTAACCCCCAATAACCCCTGAGCCCCCAATAACCCCTGTGACTCCCCTGAGCCCCCAATAACCCTCTGACCCCCAATAACCCCCTGTCCCCCAGAGCTGAGCGTGGCGGAGGTGACGGCGCAGGTGGCGGGGTCCTCGAGGGGGTCTGGGGATCCTGTCCCCCAGTAACCCCTGGAGCCCCCAATAACCCCTGTCCCCCAACAACCCCCCTGAGCCCCCAATAACCCCTGAGCCCCCAATTACCCCCTGTGCCCCCATAACCCCTCTGTGACTCCCTGAGCCCCCAATAACCCCCTGTCCCCCCAGAGCTGAGCGTGGCGGAGGTGACGGCGCAGGTGGCGGGCCCTTGGGGGTTTGGGGGATCCCTGTCCCCCAACAACCCCCTGAACCCCCAATAACCCCCCTGACCCCCCAATAGCCCCCGCTGCCCCCAGAGCTGAGCGTGGCGGAGGTGACGGCGCAGGTGGCGGGGCCCTCAGGGGTCTGGGGATCCTGTCTCCCAATAACCCCCTGAGCCCCCAATAACCCCCTGAACCCCCAGTGACTCCCCTGAGCCCCCAATAACCCCCTGTGACTCCCTGAGCCCCCAATAACCCCTGAGCTCCCCAATAACCCCAGTGACTCCCTGACCCCACCATAACCCCTGTGTCCCCCAGAGCTGAGCATGGCGGAGGTGACGGCGCAGGTGGTGGGGCCCTCGGGGGTTTGGGGCTCCTGTACCCCCAGTGACCCCATTGAGCCCCCAGTAACCCCCCTGAGCCTCCCAATAACCCCTGAACCCTCTGTGACCCTTTGAGCCCCAATAACCCCTGAACTCCCCCAATAACCCTCTGTGCCCCAGAGCTGAGCGTGGCGGAGGTGACGGCGCAGGTGGCGGGGCCCTCGGGGGTCCTGGGGATTCCTGTCCTCCAATAACCCCTGAGCCTCTAATAACCCCCGTCCCCCTGTCCCCCCAGAGCTGAGCGTGGCGGAGGTGACGGCGCAGGTGGCGGGGCCTCGGGGCAGGCGGTGCCGGCCCAGGTGGTGGCCGGGGACACCCCGGGCGCTCGGGGTGCGCTTCGTGCCCCAGGAGACGGGACCCCACTCGGTGAGCGTCAAGGACCGCGGGCAGCACGTGCCAGGGAGCCCCTTCCAGTTCACCGTGGGACCCCTGGGCGAGGGCGGCGCCCACAAGGTCCGCGCCGGGGGGCCCGGGCTGGAGCGCGCCGAGGCCGGGGTGCCAGGTGAGAGCCCCAGAAATGGGCTGGGACACCCCAAAAATGACCTGGGGACCCTAAAACTGGGCTGGGACACCCCAGAAATGGCCAGGTCACCCCAAAAACTGACCCCGGGCACCCAAAACCTGCCCCGGGGCTGGAGCGCGCCGAGGCCGGGGTGCCAGATGAGAGCCCCAGAACTGGGCTGGGACACCCCAAAAATGACCTGGGACACCCCAAAAATGGGCTGGGACACCCCAGAAATGACCTGGGGACCCTAAAACTGAGCTGGGACACCCCAGAAATGACCAGGTCACCCCAAAAATTGACCCCGGGCACCCCAAACCTGCCCCGGGGCTGGAGCGTGCCGAGGCTGGGGTGCCAGGTGAGAGCCCCAAATGACCCCAAAACTGGGCTGGGACACCCCAAAAATGACCTGGGGACCCTAAAACTGAGATGGAGACCCTAAAACTGAGCTGGGACACCCCAGAAATGGTCAGGGTGTCCTAAAAATGGCCAGGTCACCCCAAAAACTGACCCCAAGCACTCCAAACCTGCCCCGGGGCTGGAGGGCACCAAGGATGGAGTGCCGGGTGAGAGCCCCAAACGACCCCAAAAATGACCTGGGACACCCCAAAAATGACCTGGGGACCCTAAAACTGAGCTGAAACACCCCAAAACTGACCTGGGAACACCCCCCCCCAAAATCGACCAGGGTACCCTAAAAACTGACTCAGGGCACCCCAAACACATCTGGATTTTGCAGGCTGGGACCAGGGGTCTCTGGGTGTCTCAGTTTGGGGGCATTCTGGGGCAGTTTTGGGGGTCTCAGCCCCTTTTGGGGTGCCCTGACCCCCCCTTTTTCCCCTCCCCCCAACCAAATTCAACATCTGGATGTACAGAATGGGGTCTGGGGGTCAGGGAGGGGTTTGAGGAGCTTTCCCTGGATTGGGGGGTTCTGGGACAGTTTTGGGGGTTTTGGGGCATTCTGGGGTGGTTTTGGGGGTCTCAGCCCCTTTTGGGGTGCCCTGACCCCCCCCTTTTTCCCACCCTTCAGCCAAATTCAACATCTGGATGTGTGGGGTGGGATCTGGGGGTCAGGGAGGGGTTAGAGGGGCTTCCCCTGGATCTGGGGGTTCTGGGGCAGTTTTGGGGGTGTCAACCCCTTTTGGGGTGCCCTGACCCCCCCTTTTCCCACCCCCCCAACCAAATTCAACATCTGGATGTACAAAATGAGGTCTGGGGGTCTCTCCATCACAGGGAGGGATTTGAGGGGCTTTCCCTGGATCAGGGGTTCTGGGGCAGTTTTGGGGTCTCAACCCTTTTGGGGTGCCCTGACCTCTTTTTCCCTCCCCCAGCCGAGTTCAGCATCTGGATGTACAAATTGGGGTCTGGGGGTCAGGGAGGGGTTTGAGGGGCTTCCCCTGGATCGGGGGGTTGTGGGGTAGTTTCAGGGGTTTTGGGGTTCTGGGGCAGTTTTGGGGGTCTCAGCCCCTTTTGGGGTGCCCTGACCCCCCTTTCTCCCCTCCCCAGCCGAGTTCAGCATCTGGACCCACAGAGCTGGGGCTGAGGGGTCTTTCCATCACATGGGGGGGGGCTTTGAGGGGCTTCCCCTGGATCAGGGAGTTCCGGGGCGGTTTGGGGGCATTCTGGGGTGGTTTTGGGGGTCTCAGCCCCCTTTTGGGTGCCCTGACCCCCCCTTTCTCCCCTCCCCCAGCCGAGTTCAGCATCTGGACGCGTGAGGCAGGGGCTGGGGGTCTCTCCATCGCCGTGGAGGGGCCCAGCAAGGCCGAGATCGCCTTCGAGGACCGCAAGGACGGCTCCTGCGGGGTCTCCTACGTGGTGCAGGAACCCGGTGAGGGGCCGGGGGGGCGCGGGGGGATTTTAGGGGGTCTGGGAGGATTTGGGGGAGATCTCTGTGCCCCCACCCCACCCTGCTGTCCCTGAGGGTGGATTTGGGGGTCTCTGGGGGTCTCTCTGACTCTCTGACCCTACTGTCCCCCAGGGTGGGTTTGGGGAGCTCTGGGGGGGTCTCTGTGGGTATCTGTGCCCCCCTGACCCCACTATCCCCCGAAGTGGATTTGGGGGTCTCTGTGGGGTCTCTGGGTATCTCTGTGGGTCTCAGTGCCCCCCCTGACCCCACTGTATCACAGGCTGGGTTCAGGGATTTCTGGGGGTCTCTGGAGTCTCTGGGGGGTCTTTGGCTGTCTCTAGGGGGTCTCAGTGCCCCCCTGACCCCCCTGCCCCCACAGGTTGGATTTGGGGATCTCTGGGTGTCTTTGGGGGTCTCCAAGGGTCTCTGGGTGTCTCTTTGGGATCTCTAGGGGGTCTCTGTGCCCCCCCTGACCCCCCTGCCCCCACAGGTTGGATTTGGGGGGTCTCTGGGTGTCTGTGTGGGGTCTCTGTGGGATCTCTAGGGGGTCTCTGTGCCCCCCCTGACCCCCCTGCCCCCACAGGTTGGATTTGGGGGGTCTCTGGATGTCTCTGTGGGGTCTCTGTGGGATCTCTAGGGGGTCTCAATGCCCCCCTGAGCCCGCTGCCCCCCAGGGTGGATTTGGGGGTCTCTGTGGGGTCTCTGGCTGTCTCTGTGGGGTCTCTGTGGGATCTCCAGGGGGTCTCAGTGCCCCCTGACCCCGCTGCCCCCCAGGGTGGATTTGGGGGTCTCTGGGGGGTCTCTGGGTGTCTGTGGGGCCTCTGTGGGATCTCTAGGGGGTCTCAGTGCCCCCCTGACCCCCCTGCCCCCACAGGTTGGATTTGGGGATCTCTGGGTGTCTTTGGGGGTCTCCAAGGGTCTCTGGGTGTCTCTTTGGGATCTCAGGGGGTCTCAGTGCCCCCCCTGACCCCCCTGCCCCCTCAGGGTGGATCTGGGGATATCTGTGGGGTCTCTGGGGTCTCTGTGGGATCTCTAGGGGGTCTCTCTGCCCCCCCTGACCCCCCTGCCCCCACAGGGTGGATTTGGGGGGTCTCTGGGGGTCTCTGACTGTCTCTGTGGGGTCTCTGTGAGTCTCAGTGCCCCCCCTGACCCCGCTGTATCACAGGCTGAGTTCAGGGATCTCTGGGGGTCTCCGAGGGTCTCTGGGTGTCTCTGTGGGATCTCCAGGGGGTCTCAGCACCCCCCCTGACCCCCCTGCTCCCTCAGGTTGGATTTGGGGGGTCTCTGGGTGTCTCTGTGGGTCTGTGGGGTCTCTATGGGGTCTCTTGGATGTCTCCCTGACCCCCCTGCCCCCTCAGGGTGGATATGGGGATATCTGTGGGGTCTCTGTGGGTCTGTGGGGTCTCTGTGGGATCTCTTGGATGTCTCCCTGACCCCCCTGCCCCCTCAGGGTGGATCTGGGGATATCTGTGGGGTCTCTGTGGGGTCTCTGTGGGTCTGTGGGGTCTCTGTGGGATCTCTTGGATGTCTCCCTGACCCCGCTGCCCCCTCAGGGGACTACGAGGTGTCGGTGAAGTTCAACGAGGAGCACGTGCCCGAGAGCCCGTTCGTGGTGACGGCGGCGCGCCTCTGCGACGCCGCTCGACGCCTCACTGTTTGTAGCCTTCAGGTGAGGCACCCGCGGACCCCACAGCGCCCACCCCGCACGGGGGGCTCGGCCAGCGCAGCACCCACCGAGGGACGGGGGTTAGGGGGTTAGGGGGACAGGAGAGGGGTAGGAGGGGTTTAGGGGAGTTAGGGGGACAGGGAGTGACAGGAAAGGACCTGTGAGGGGTTTGGGGGACAGGGAGTGACAGGAGGGGGTTTGGGGGAGATTTAGGAGGACAGGAGGGGTTTAGGGGGCTTTGGGGGAGATTTAGGGGACAGGAGGGGTTTAGGGGGATTTAGGGGGACAGGAGGGGGTTTAGGGGGACAGGGAGTGGCAGGAGGGGTTTAGGGGAGATTTAGGAGGACAGGAGGGGTTTGGGGGGATTTAGGGGGGACAGGAGGGGTTTGGGGGATTTAGGGGACAGGAGGAAGTGACAGGAGGTTTAGGGGAGATTTAGGGGACAGGAGGGGTTTGGGGGGATTTAGGGGACAGGGAGTGACAGGAGGGGGTTGGGGGGACAGGGGAGTGACAGGGGAGTTTGGGGTGATAGGGAGTGACAGGAGGGGATTTAGGGGGACAGGGAGTGACAGGAGGGGGTTTGGAGGGGTTAGGGGGACAGGGAGTGACAGGAGGGGGTTTGGGGGACAGGGGAGTGACAGGAGGGGCTTGGGGAGATTTAGGGGACAGGAGGGGGTTGGGGATTTAGGGGGACAGGGAGTGACAGGAGGGGGTTTAGGGGGACAGGGAGTGACAGGAAAGGACCTGAGGGGTTAGGGGGACAGGGGAGTGACAGGACGGGGTTTAGGGGGACAGGAGAGTGATAGGGGTTTGGAGGAGTTAGGGGAGAGGGGAGTGACATGAGGGGTTTGGGGGGGACAGGAGTGACAGGAGGGGACTTAGGGGGACAGAGGAGTGGCAGGAGAGGGCTTTGTGGTGACAGGGGAGGACAAGTGGGGTTTGGAGGAGAAGGAGTGA